AGAGCCTTGCACAGCTGCCCCTCACAGCCCAACCAAGTTAACCCTAACAGGCTCACACCTGGCTTCCTCATCTGCATAATGGAGCAGATGAGAACTTCCCTCGGGGGTTGCTGGGAGGTACAAATAAAATAATGGCTATGCAAATCTTCTGTAAATTACCAAGTGCCATGTAAATGAAAAACATTTCTTTTTTACCCAGTATTCCTTTAAAAAAAAAAAAAACAGAAGGGAATAGAACTGATTACCAGGAAGTGACTTCAGTAAAGCAGAAGGGCCACTCACCTCCCGTGAGCCTGTTCTGTCCGAGGCAGCCCCTGGGAGGATGCTTCGCTTAACCACCTCCTTTCGGAGATCATCGTCGCTGTGACACAGGTGTCCAAGACGTAGGTGAGGCCACTGAGTCTGAGCAAGATCAAGCGACTTGCCTGGTGTCACACAGGAAGCAAGTGATGGAGTCTGAAGTCAAGTCTATTTCTTTCTCCTTCCAGTGCCTGAGCTCTCTCCTTGGAATCAGTGAAGACCACTCAAGCGAGGACAAGCAGAGGCTGTTCATTCGGGGCTGGCCATAGCAGGGAGTCAGCCACCGTCTCTCGCATTTTGGCAGAGATTCAAAGGCAGGCAGAGAAGCAGAAAGCTTTCCAGTGGGAAAAGGGGAGGCCTCAGCTGTGCCCCGATGGGAGGCTGTTGGCCTGGGCAGACTGGAGGCAGACTAGTGAGAAACCGAGCATCCTATGTGATTGGGCACGTTGGACTGTCTCTGGTTAGCCCTAACCAGGAAGCACAGACATAAATTAGGGAAGGTGTCAGTTATTGATCAAGTCTTGGCCATTTTGGGTTGATGGTTAACAGGGGTTATTGTTTGGCTTCTGAATTATTATAAGAGAGAGCAGTCTGACTTCGTGCAAGTCTGACTCACAGAGAGCAGGCTGGTTTCTGGACTGGTTGCTGCAGAGTGTGGGTCAGAATCCTATTTTTATATATGATCTGGCTGCCGTCTATTTGTATATTCAGCTTCTCACTCCCTTTTACCACCTGACTCAAAACCCAGACCTTCACAACAGGACACATTCCTTTACTAGGGTTTTAGATCACATAATTTAACTTCATTAATTGAAGTAACTGAACAAGCCAGCAAACATCCTTGGATAGTTCTTAACTTTCTGTTCCCCTAAAGAAGTATCTTGAAAAGTTCTTTATTGATCAGCTAGAAGGTGTGAAGCAATGTTTTGAAATAGTATGCTTCTGTTTTCTGCAAAGGCAAAATTATCCAGGGTTACTGATACGGACTCACCACGCTGACAGTTCCCACTCAAAAGTGTGAACACAGCAGCGTCCATGGGTCCCCAAGGTCAGCGTACTGAAGCGTTTTATCCTCACTTTAGAATCCTTGACAATGACTGCTGAGTTAGGAGGTGGAGCCCAGTGACAGCTTGAGAAGTATTAGAAATAGCAGACCATTTGGTGAGGCTGTCCACAAAGGACCTCAGTGCATAATGGAACATCTGAAAACTGGAGCTGAAAATACCCCAGCAACACGGTTATTCTTTTTAGTCACCATTTAGCATTTTGCCTTTTGGTTTCTAAAGTTCCAAGACAGACTAAAATAGAAAAAATATATGCAAAAATGTTCCCGAGTTCAGTATTGCTGATGGGTTGGAGATGCTAACTTTTGCATCCCGGAGACCTGAATTTGAGCCTTGCATCAGTTAGGAGAATGATCTGCTGTGTATAACCTAAACCCCCAATAACTGAGGCTGAAGTGTGGTGGGTTGGAAACATCCAGAAAAAGACAGCTGGGAACTGATATGGCAGCATTTCGGTATCTACAGGCTCTAGGCTTGGCCATTCTCAGTGCTTGGTTTCCATCTTCAAGGTCAGTATCAAAGATGGCTGCTGGAGTGCCAGCCTTCATGTCTCTGTTCCAGGCTGACAGAAGAAGGAAGGGGAAAGAACAAAAAGGAAAGCCCTCCTTTTAATCTCATTTCCTGGAATTCTCACTTACATCCTGTTGTCCGAAGTTTATAAATGTGGACAACTTAGAAATATAGCCTTTTCCTTGTCCCTATTATTAAACCTTGAAAATAACCTTTGAATGTACCCAGGGTTCGGTTGCTGAAACATGAAGGGACCATCAGGTAGACCTTTAGGTTGAGCTCACCAGAAGCAGCTTCAGAGATGAGGACTGGTGTGGAAGGGATTTATTGGGAAGTGGGTCTAGGAAAACCAGCAAAAATGCAGAGACCTTGGATCAGGAATGAAGGAGTCTAAGCCAGGGTGTGACGTAGTCCCACCAAGGACGACCTTGACCAGTCCCACTAGGACTCCCGGGGAGAGTGTATCATCAACTCAGAAATGTCCTGCTCCGGGTTCAGGGAGTTGAAGAGTGTTTCGCATGCACACCCATCACTCAGTGGGGAGGGATGCTCCAGGGCAGCACGTGCCCCAGGCATTGTGGCTCTGCAAGAACAAGCAAAGTGAGCCCCAAAGCTTGAGAGCAGCCGTCTACCTAGAAAGACCATTGCTGGCTGTTAGAAGTAAGAGCTCATCTATGAGCAATTTTTGTTTGTCCATTTGTATATTCTGAACTCAAATCGAGTAGGAATTGTCTGCCTACCAGGAAAGAGAAGAATAGTTTGATATTTGGACCTGTGAGCGTCTGTGAACCGGGGCTCAGATGGCAGTGTTGAAGCCATAAGCCATCTATGGAGACCTATGCCTGTGTGTCTGTAGTTCAGAAAGAACTTTATCTTTCATTGTGCATTTGATGTTTTCCTATCTCTGCACGTATTAATAAACTAAATTACAAAGTCTCTGAAATTTAAGGAGTAAGGATCTGATTGGTTTATAGAGATAAACACTTACAGAAATTATTTTCTGGTGGGGGGAGGGTATAGCTCAGTGGTACAGTGTGTGCTTAGCATGCACGAGGTCCTGGGTTCAATCACCAGTACCTCCATTTAAAAAAAAATTTTTTTAAGAAATTATTTCCTGTAGTTACTAGGAAATAAGGACCTTAAACTCATAATGCTTTAGATATATTGGCTGAAGCTAACTTAGAAGCATTTTAGGAATCCGTATAATTAAGATGAATCTTTGGCAAATGAGACTAGTCCAATAATTTTGATTTAATAAAAACAGCTATGTCTTCTCTAATTGATTAACACTATATATAATAGGAGCTACATTTTATTCTACAAGGTATTTTTTTTCTTAGACTGATTCCCATTTACTTGTCAAATAAGCTAACATTGTCCCTAGTTAATGTTTAAGGCTATGAAAAATGTGAATTTGTGTTCAACTAAATTGAGTCATTATTCTGACAAACTGTATGTCAACAACAATTGTGTTTTGTAGCATGTCAGCTTGTAAATAATTTCTTGGCTCTTTAAGTAATTTAAACCCTTGGACTGATTTTAAATTGCATTGACTAATGGATAATCACTGTGTGCCTAGACCATTTCTAAGGCAGATGAATGCTGAAACATTGATAACTAAGCATAGTTTTGAAACCTATAGACCTCTGCTTCGTATTTTAATATTCATTGGGCCATATTCATGAACGTGTACCTCTCTGCTACTTTTAGAGATTCTTTAAGGATATGAATGGTTAGAGAAAGTTGCTAGGTTAACTTATGAGCCCCACTGTTTGCTAAAATGCTGGGATGTGACACAGTTCTCAATTATCCATCCTGCGGTTTGTTTTTTGGATGAAAGAGAAGTTATTTACTTTGCTTAAAAATCATAACTGATGTAATTGGTTGGGTCTATATTAGAAGCAACAGTGATAGGAAAATACAATTATGAGCAAACTCTTCTTTTTTCAAGGAAAACAGTAGTTCTGCCCTAAAGCAACATTTCTCAATTTTTTTTTGTCTCCAGATACCTTTATCCTCATAAAAGTAACAGAGGACCCCCAAAAGCTTTTGATTTTAGAGCTATAACTATTGATGTTTTCCGAATTGGAAATCGAAACTGAGGATTTTTTAAATGCTTATTTATGGAAACATTTGAAGAGAACAATGAAGGCATCGCACGCTAATAACATCTAGTATTATTATTAAATTAGTCCTGCCCTCACAGACCTCTGATATCTGTCCTTAAGTGTCAGCTTATTCCAGAACATGAAGGAGCTAATGAAGGATAAACTTTAAAAAGTGAGTTTTATTTGTCTTGGTTTTTAATAGTTGAATTCAGGAACTCTGACTGAGTCTCCCCGCTTTGAATGGCTATATAGTTATTTGCATACGTTCAGTAGGAACCTGGCCACCTTTTCACTTAGGATATAATTGGAAAAATTGCTAAAGCAACCAAGGTCTCATCTGGAATGTCATATTTGAAAATGATGCTTTTTAACCCCGTGTGACTATGTTTTTTTAACGCTTTATTGAGGTATAATCTACACCATGCAATTCACTCATTGCAAGTGTATAGTGCAATATTTTATCAGAGATGTTCAGCCATCACCCCAGTCAATTTTAGAACATTTTCATTACCCACCAGATGAAACTCCATACCCCTTAGCCATCACCTCCACCCCATCTCCCCAGCCCCCCAGCAACCACTCATACACTTTCTGTTGCTGTGGATCACCCACCATTCTGTGGATTTGCCTATTCCAGACAGTTCATATAAACAGGAGGCCTACAATATGTGGTCTTTTGCGACCAACTTTTTTCACTTAGCATCATATTTTCCAAGTTCATCCAGGCTGTAGCATGTATCAGGATTTCATTCCTTTTTATGGCTGAATAATATTCCATTGTATGGATAGATCACATGTCATTTACTCATTTAGCAGTTGATGGACCCTTTGGATGGTCTCCACCTTTTGGCTGCTCTGAATAATGCTGCTGTGAACATTCCCACACAAGTTTCGTGCTGACATGTTTTCATTTCTCTTGAGTGTTTACCCAGGAGAAGAGCTGCTGGATCATATGGTAACTCCAGGTTTAACATTTTGAGAAACTACCAGATTGTTTTCTAAAGTGGTTGCACTTTTCTCTAAGCATAGTCCACTTTTGTTACTAGATCTTTTTGATGCTAAAGATTCTAAGCATTTTAAATACATTAACATTGATCGAATCTCCACAACAACTCTAAGAGGCAGGGATTACTAAACCCATTTTAGAGATGGGAAATCTCAGAGCGATGAGGCACCTTGTTCAGCATCACTCAGACAGTAAGAGTAGTGGGATCAAACTTAAGCCCCTCTCCCCAAAGCTCCATCCCTTCCCTCTCCATCCCACTGCGCCACACCCCCTCCAGGAGATGCAGAGACCAGTGGGCTCTTTCCCTCCTCTGCAGGCCTGTGGGTGCCAGGGGAACTTTCTCCATGGGGTTGAAAGGTTTCCCTCTTCTTCTTGACCCAAAGAATCCCCTGCCTGGGCAGCACCCAGCTGTTAGGTTATCTGAAGAGGACAAAGAGCTTTGACGGCAAAAAAAGCATCCAGAATCAAGCCCAAGAGCTTCTTTGGGGCTTTGTGACACATTCTATCTTACGTTTCTTACTAAGTTCCTTACTAAGAGATTCCCCCCATCTTTTTTCCTCCGATTTCTGAAATGTACCCTTGGCTCCCAATACTTCCATCAGTGCCTGGGGGCAGGATCTGCTCCCAACAGAGTCAGGGCAAGACTGCAGGGCTGCTCCAGGAACTATTGACAGTGTTCCAGGAGGGCAGAGGAAAAAGAGCATTGCCCTGAGAGTCCTGCCTCTACCATGAACTGAACAACTTTGGATACTTAGTGCACCTCCCTGGGCGTCAGTTTTTCAATCTCTAAACCCAGGGGATTGGACTAGCTCGAGGATGGAAGCTTGACGCATCACTGCTGTCACCCCTTCCCATATGCACAGCAGACATAGCTAATCAATTGTGACATCATTTCCCATTGACCCAGGACTCTGCCTCAGAATCCTTCTTAACACAGAGCTCCAAGCAACCACTACCAATACATCAGAATTGGCCTGCAAACAGAAACCTGGTTTCCGTCCTTGGACTCATTGATCTTGAGGTGCCCCTCAGCTCTAAAGACCTGTCACTCCCCTCTGTACATACCAGAAGGCACTGGAAGACTTTCCCATGGGCTGCAGCTCTGATTTCTTTTTTTCTAATTTTGCCTGGACTCCTTGTGCCTTGGCTGGGAACTTGGAGCTGTGTTTATGCAGCAGGAGATAGACTGGCAGAGGAAGTCCATGGCCTCAAGAGAGGTTGTCTGGTACCCAGAGCTCAGCCGCAGAATCAGGCTGTGGGGGGCCTGTCTCTGGCAGCTTTCTGGCCAGTCCTGTTGGATGCAGCTTTGTCGGTGGCAGTGACCCCAACCACTGTGACTCCCGCACTGGGTATGGGGACACCAACACGAAGTGGCATGGAAATTTGAGCTGCTCCTGGCAGGGTGGTGACCACCAGCGCCAATTCTGAATCTGCAAACCTGGGATACTTCCCTGGCCCAGCCACCCACAATACCACATAGACACAACATCATTCATACCACATCATGATTTATACGTTACAAACACATGCAGTTTTAAAGCTGTTCTTAATGCCTTTGTTATACAAAGACTGAACCAATCTTGGGGTTTCCCATTAAAGTCATAGAAGCTGAGCTGTGCTCACCAAAGGATCCTGATTTGAGCAGCTTCCGAACTGTCTTTTAACAGAAAACTCAGGTGGCATCAAAAAGAGTAATGCTGCAGTGGCCACCGGGGCCTTGAGTGGGAGTATACGGATAAACAGATGGAGGCTTCCCTGCTGGAAACAGAGGTTCTGGACTGATTTCACCCTGAAGAAACATTCCTCACTGCAGAAAGTTCTGTTGGGTAGCACCAGTATATAGCAGGGGTCAGCTAATGACGCCCCAGCCTGGGGCAGGGGGACAAATCCAGCTGCCATGTGTTTTTACAAATAAAGTGTTACTGGCACACAGCCACGTCCATTCGTTAACGTGTAATGTCTGCTTTGGGGCTACAGCAGCAGAGCTGAGTACTTACGACAGAGACTTTATAGCCTGAAAACCCTAAAATATCTCTTATCTGACCCTTTATAAGAAAAGTTGGCCGATCTCTAGCGTAGAGTGCCGAAAAGTGGCACGAGGCTCTTTCCTGGGAAGATGCTCACTGGCATCCGCAGGAGTTACTGGCGGGTCCCAGGTGTCGGGACGATTTCACCCCAGCACACGCTTTTCCAGGGAAGGAGGCCGGGAACGAGCAGCTGTCAGCACCACTGCGGAGCCTGACGGGGAGGCAGGATGCTCCTCCCCAAGCAGGTGCCTTCTCTAGGGCGACTGATGGCAGAGAGAGGCGGTGGGCGTGGCGTTGGGGTGGCTGCAAGTCTACCCAGGAAAACCACACACTACAAGGCTCTTACAGTTTGCTTTCTTTATTTTTCTAGTCTTCCCAGGTCAGTGAGGCAGCAACACGAATAAAAAGTGAGACAAACTGTTTTCTTGCTCGGCGATGCAATAACCCCTCCCACACTGATGCTCGCAGATAATTCTAAGAGCTTTTCATCAAATGGAGCCGAATCTAGAGGGTCTGGCATCTCACACACCAAAAATAACTCCCAGAGTGATGTCAGGCCAGCTTAGGGGTGCTCGTTTCCAGGAAAGGAGGAATGTATTGTTCCAGCCTCCTTCCAGCTCTTTCCAAGTCCTCTCAGGTCAAAGAGGAGAGCCGGGCTAACTGATCTGGTTCCTTAAGAAGGCTTGCATCTCCTGCTCTCCCCGTCCAGGGGACCCCTAGAGCTACTGTAGCAGCAGGGAGTTTGGGGGGTTCTCCGTGGACCCAGCATGCATGCCACAAGCCCCAGTGCCCGCTTGCTGCCCACTCTCACCCTTGAATTATTTCAGCCTTTCTCTCCTTTTATGAGCATGATCCTTTGTTGAAAGGGAAACTAAGCTGATTCGAGAGGCTGACTGATGCTCACTTGGTAATGTCTCTATTGTCAACAGAGTGCAGGATTTATTTGCAGCAGCTTGGAATGTCCCGGGGCCAGAGAGGGTAGATTCTCTTAGAATGCCCACGGGCATCTCAAATGGTCACATTTGGGACAGCAGAGCCCTGGGAACGCTGCTGCCATTGTAGCCGTGCAAATTGCAAATGAATAGGCAACTCTTGCTGTCACGCAAACAGGAGAAGCATCAGTTTCCCTTGTGCAGCCAGGACACCTCAACTGGCAAGCTCCTCTCTCTCTCGACTCCCAAGCTGACTTGCTGAATTCTCTCACCCTCACCAGCCCTCCTCTGCTGCTGCGTCCAAGTTATTTGGGTAAATGGGAACAAAGAAAATATCCTAAGCCTCCCCTCAGGACCAGCCTTGCAATGCACACATTCCCCCAGGCCTTCTTGAATTACAGAGAAAACAACAAGGAGTGAGTCCTCTACGGAGCTACAACCAGGGTGGTTTAATTTGCAGGGGTCCAGGACACGACTCAAGAGTTGGGAAGTCACCCGCGCTGTCGTCTCTTCCGCCCCCGCAGCTTCAGCCGCCTGGCTGGCAAGCTGACGGGCTGCTTCCGGAACTTCTCCATGATCTCTCTGATCCTGGCCATATTGGTTTTGCTGAGTGTGAAGTCGCACCTCGTGGCCCCCATGTCATAGCCGACCATGCAGTTCTTGGTGGATGAAGTGAAACCTTCTGCCTTGGCTGTGACCACATACTCTCCGGGGTTCAGGAGGCGCCAGTAATCCCCGTCATTGGCTGTGAAAAGAAAGCAGTGGAATTCAGAGCAGCTCTTTTCTAACACAGATACCACCAGCCCTGTTATTCCAAGACCAGCCTCCTGGCCAGAGAGAGACTCGTAGGCAGGCAGTGTGGAATTTAAGCCCCTGCAGATGCAAATTCTTAGTGCATTTTGGAAGCCAAGATGTTTTCCTTTTTGGAAGCCGCCTTAATGGTTTTAACAGGAAGGGGATTGGGGTGTAGGCTCCCCGCAGTGTTAATACACATGAGGAGAGATGGAGAAATGATCGCTAACATTCCTTTCTCCGTGACAATACACACCATTCATTAAGAACTTGAACTCCTAAACGCTATGCCCTCTCCAAAGAATGCCATCTTGAAAAGCCATCTGTGCCTGGCTTCCCGGCTTTCCTTAGCTTGGCTATAAATACAGAATTGTAATTTAGGGGAGGGGCTCTTCCCTTCCGAAAAAGAGAAGGAAAAGACAACATAAGACGAGGGCCAAATGACCTGAGAGGAGGCCCTGGTGACCACACCGCTCTATGGTCTTCCATGAAGAAACGGAACTGCAGGAGCAGCTGCAAGTAGATGCTGCCAGCAGAGCCCCCCGCAACTCCCCCCCCCCAGTTACACCACTGGTCAGTCACCCAGCAGGCCCCTCGTGGGACCCGTGTCCATCCTTAGCTCAAGGTTAGGTCCTTGTTGCACAAGGCGGGGCTCTAAGCCAAGGCCGTTCCTTCCCAGGGGGCTTATATCTGCTGAGAGCACTTGGACCCCTGACATTAAAGAGGCTGTAAGGAAGAAAAGGAGAGATTGACCCCCACCGAGGACATAGCACACGGACAGGGGAGGCAGGCACGGGTCCACTGAACCCTCCAAGCTGAGCTCTGATGTGGGCTGCACCATGGTCCCCTTTCCTACGTGAGGAATCGGATGCTCAGGGAAGGGTGACATCCTGCAGAAGGTCACATGGCCGGTTAATTAGCTGGTCTTCCAGTGCCAGGTGTGTTTTCTCTCATCACGATCAGTCCTGAAAGGATTTGATGAGGTGCTACGTAGGCCGGGGCAAGGTGGGCTTATCTAAACGAGTCCTGAAGGCTTTGAAGGGATGGAAGTGAACTCTGTGTGTGTGTGTGTTTGTGAGAGAGAGAGAGAATGTGTATCTCGCACGTACTCGTATATAACACTCTGACACACCATGTGTAAATTCACGTCCCAATCTTTATTCGTCTGAGACACCCCAGGCAATGCGGTGAGCTCACGAGAGCACAAGGTGTCATGAACACGAAACACGTAGGTGGCTGTGTGCCACACGGTCACACAGTCCGCGACCTGGTCAGCAGGCCTCAACGCAGGAGACCCGGAACACAGCACAGGCAGTGGCTCCCTGTATTTCTCAGCACTGCCCCGTGTGTCTCCCTGCAGGGGAAATGCAAGCTTCTCAGCTAAATAAAGGGCCACTTGGTGGCTTTTCAGAAGCCGAGAGCCACGTCCAGCAGTCTTTGATCTGCAATCAGACGGCCTAGGCCTCCTGGGGCAGGCACCCCCTGAGACCTCTCTCCGGGGTCCCAACTCGGGGGCAGACCTGCAGGAAATGCCCCTTCACGCTCCAGGCTGGCGGCCTGGGTGTGAGCGGCCTCCTCGTCCCGGGCCGGCCCTTAGGCTCCTCAATGCCTCCAGTTCACTGTGTGTTTCAACAGTACGTCCTCCATTAATGCCAGTTAGACTGAGCGGGATGAAGACAGACAAACATGCAAATATCAGTCCCGATGCTTTATCAGCACGAGTTGAACATTTCCCCACGAACACCGCAGAGGGTTAGTTAAGGCCACCTGCCAAAGGCTGTCCATCTGCTGGACGCCCCTGGAGCTGAGACCCCGGTGTAAGCACCCACCCCAAGGGCACACTGAGGGCAGTTTGAAACCCCCCAGGGAAGGCGCCGCCTGGGGTCTCACCCAGGGAGGTGCTTAGGGAGCCAGAGGAGTGAAAGAAATCCATAATTAGGAAATGTTTTTCAGCACCACGGATGCCAGTTTACATTGATAAGAAAGCTTTGTAATTCTTTTTCTTCTCATCACAGCAGAAGGTTCCTCCCAGCTCCTCCCCAATCAACCCTCCTTTGCCGTGCACCTGTCACGTGTGTGTCCGAGGGGAGGCGGTCCATGGAGCTGGCACCACCCGGCACTGGTGGGCAAAGGGACAACCGAGACCCTAAAGAATGTCCATTCATTAGCAGGTCAGGTGAGTGTCCCCCAGACGAAGGACAGTCATGTGATCTCAGCCAGGTGTCTGGCCAACATATTTATGTGCGTTTAGAAAGCATCCTTGCTAGTGTCTCTCCCTGTGGAATTCCGCTGAATACCCCTGTTTATTTTACGCAAAATCCCTCCTGGAATAAAACTTGTCAGATCACATAAGCCTCAGACAGAAATCAAGGCAAATTCAGAGCTTATGTCGAGCACTGAAGGCCGCTGAAACCAACAAGATAAAGAGCCACGTGTGAAGCTGGGGACTCCTCTGTGATGAGAGCGCGCTGGGAGACTATTTATGGGGGAATAAAGGCAGAGGGAGCTGCGTTTCCCATTAGCTCATCAAAACTGTCTCCTTGATTCCAGGGGCTTGAAATTCCAAGCTCATTAGGCAAAGCCGCGCTCGGCAGGCTTGTGGGGCCCTGGGGGCCTTTTTCCCCCCTGACTCCGTTCATTTTCTCACATGACATACAAGGCACTAACAGTCCAAGGAATCTTTCAGGCTCTTTTACAAGTCACTCTTTCACAGGAGCTCATTCATAATGTTTAGAATACACATCCTGTGCAGAACCAGCTCAAATGGCCCGTTTCCTTCATAATGATCACCTGCAACTCGCGTGTCGGGCCCATGACAAGTTTTGCAATCTGCATTTGCTGAATCAAGGAATGAACAAGTGAATGAACGGACAAATCACTGTATGCCTCTGAAGGGCTACTATGTCCCCAATGCCACGCTACCTGGTGTGAAGCCTCGTGGTCAGTGGCTGTAAGACCCTGAGGACAAGTGGTACAGATGGATGTTCAGGAAGTATGGCTGAGTGAGGAAACAGGCAACTACCTTAAAAGAAGGCAATTCATGGCATCACACCGCCGTCTACCGTCGTGCGGCATTTCAGATGCATTTCACCCGTTTACACAGTTAACTGGCCTTCTCTGCCAGGCACGCGGGCAGGCGGCCCGGCCCTGAAGAACACCTGGGCCAGGTCTGCATCCCAGGCTCCCCCTGTCCTAATGTCCCAGAGTCTCTGCTTCCTCGCAGGTCACGAGGGATCATTTGGGGAGGACAGTGTCTTCGTGCATGTGAACAGCTTGCAGAGAAAAGGCCCCTTCTCTCCTTCAGGGGGAACAGCATGGGACAAGGGGAGGGCACTGCATTGAGAGTGTCGAGCCCTTGGCTCAAATCCCAGCTCAGCCTCTCACTGTGCACTTCTGGAAACACCATGTAATGACCAGGGCAGTTGGCTGCCCCAGCACAGCGTAGGCTCTTAAATCAATAAGGTACAGGTCTGATCAAGTCAGTGTCAAGTTCGAGTGTGTCTGCGGGCTGAAGAGGTCTTACTTACGGCAATCACAATTTCCTTTTTCCTTCCTCTTGCTCATGAGTCTGTTCTCTGCGCCTGGCGGGGATCTGCCCTGGGTTAAATGAGGCCCCGATCCCCAACCCCCTGAAATGGTCCACATCCTACTACCCAGAACCTATGAATTGACCTTATTTGGAAAAAGGGCTTCTGCAGATGTAATTAAGGATCTTGAGGATGAGATTTTCCTGGATTATGCAGGTGGGTCTTAAATCCAATGATGTGTATCCTCATCAGAGACAGGAGAGGAGGAGACACAGGAGGAGCCACAAGAAGACAGAAGCAGAGACTAAGTGATGCAGCCAAGGAAGCTCAGGAACGCCAGAAGCCACCAGGAGCCGGAAGAGCCAAGTAGGGATCCTCTCCAGGGGCTCCAGGGGGAGCACTGCCATGCCGACACCTTGATTTTGGACTCCTGGCCTTCTAACTGGGAGAGAATAAGTTTCTGTTCCTTTAAGCCACTCAGTTTGTGACACCCATCGGAAACTGATGCAGGGCTCATCGCAGCTGATAGCAAAGCCAAGTACCCGCCACTGACACAGAGCTCCCCAAAGCCTCCCCATCCTCTGTGCAAGAAAGCCCCCACGTGTAGGCTTAAACATGCCTGCAGGCACACCATCTCCACCAGAACCCTTGCTGATAATCGGACTTCAGCATCCAACCAGTTCTCTTCCTCGTGCATTTGTCACTGCATCGTGCTGCAAACATCGTCCACGAAAGCGAAGGTCAGCATTTCTTCCTTTCCCCTGAGCACACCAAGGGCCATCCCAGGGGCACAAGGGAAATCCAGGCTTGTTTTCACATCACTTTCTAATCGGCAGAGAATATGGCAGCTCAGAGTGTCTGCGGGCTGCTTCCCAGCCAGCATGGCAGCCCTGGAGGGAGCAGGGAAACCATGCACAGCTGTTCAGACTCCCGGACCCCAGCTCCACTCGGATCCTAAACCTCCAGTGGGTCCTCCAGCCTCTCTGAGCTTCTGGTTTTCATCCAAATAAGGGCCAGAGGGTAGCCAGAAAGCACAGGCTGAAAACCTTGCTGTTTCTAGGGTCTCCGTGGAAAGTCAGAGGAAAGAGACACGTCAGGTCTGAGTAAGAAGTTTCCAGGCCTCAGCTTGTAGTTTTCCCCCAAGTAAAACACTTCGAGAAAATGGTATTTCCTCCCGAGAAACAGTGCACACACATTCGCAGTTACCTGTTCGGATGTCATGGTTAATGCCTTCTACCGAGATAATGGCATTTGGAATTCCTTTTCCGTGCAAATCCCTCACCAAGCCTTTAATGCCGCGGTGAACCTGTTCAGCAAATATGGGGAGAAACAGGTAAGCTCACCAACTGACTGGCTCGACCAACCACACCGTGAATAGGACTATAAACCTAACACCAGCCCAGTGCCACCGAGAACCCCCATGAAGCCACGTCTGACTCGAAAGCTCCCTGCCTCTGAGTGGATTTGGTGCGTGAATTTCTGTATTCCTTTTGGGCCTGTCTACTGGAAAGTCTTCTACTGGAGTTAAAACATTCCAGAGGTTTAGAAAGTATTAGGATCCAAGATGGTTCATAAAAACCGCATTCAGTAAAAATGGAATTTAATTTTTATAGGCACATTTATTTTGACTTTCCAGTACTGTATAGACACAATACCTGCACTTAACGACTTAATATTCGAAGAGGAGAGAAAAGACTCAGAGACATTCCTGCAAAGTACAGCTCAGTCTGGAGGGCCCGTCCTCTGATGAGCTGTGTCACACGACACACACCAGTGCGGAACCTCGTGCCTGCTCCCCATCTAAAGATCCAAGGTGACAAACCATCAATTCCAGTGCACTCTTTACACATACTACTGTGCCTGGGCATTTTATCCATCAGAGGCTCTTTGGTTAACTGGGATTGTCACTTTAGAATGACTAGGGCATTCTCTCTCTGCAAATATGAAACAAAGAAAGAGACTTCCTGCACAAAATTCCAGAGTGGGGATGGAAAGTGTGCTCACGGCTTCCCAAGAGGGAGAAACAGGGTCACACCCTTCTGTGCAAGGGAAGTGCGTGATGGGCTGCACTGACTCCTCCCCCGGGACCCTCACGGATCAGACTTGGATGCTAAATCCCAGGGCTGATGTCTGCCACCCGGATGGAGGTGCAGGTACAGGAAGCTGGCAGCCCAAGCCACCGGCTGAATGCTTCTTCTGACTCATCTGCAAAAACCTGGGGAAGAAGGGGCAGCCTCCAGGTACAGCCTCAGCATCTTGCTTCCTAACGGATGGGAGTCACAGTAGAATCACAGGAAGTTCAACATTCATTTTTGTTTATTTCTCTTGTTTCTGTGAGTCTATTCCTTAGCAGGGCGTGGATGTTATTTGGTTAGTTTTAGCACCAAAATAGAACCAGTTTACTCAATGTTACAAGACGGGCGTGTCCTTGAGAACAGGAGGAAAGGAGGGCGCGTGAGGTTCCTAGTGAACACAGCAGGGCTTCCTCGCCGGCTACAAGCAGAACGTTAGTGGGCACTTGTTAGAACTGGTCCCAGGTGACCACCTGCCACCTGCAGTGGTGACTCTTCAGCCTCAGGGTTTTTATGGACTGAACTGTGTCCCCCACAAAATTTAAATGTTGAAGTCCTTACCCCCAGTACCTTAGAATGTGACTGTATTTGGACATAGCATCTCTAAAGGGCTGATGAAGTTAAAATGAGCCATTAGAGTGGGCCTTATAATCTGACTGGTGTCCTTATAAGAGGAAACTTGGACACAGGGACACCAGAACTGTATGCACACAGACCAGGTGAGGACATAGAGAGAAGGTGGGCATCTGCAAGCCAAGGAGCGAGGCTTCAGAATGAAACCAACCTACTGATACTTTAATTTTGGACTTCCAGCCTCCAGAACTATAATTTCCATTGTTTAAGTTCCCCCAGCCTGTGTGTTACGCAGCCCTAGCAGACTAATACAAGGGGCCTGGGCATGGTGGCTGGACACATATCACCCCTCCCCACAGAGCAGCACCCTAACACCCTGGAAGGAGTCTCGCTCATCATGAAGCACTGGGAGCAACAGACATTGACCTAAGAGCTCACGGTTCCTTCCAGCACTGGAGGCGCCGGCCCAGGATGACGGCCACAGTCTGAAGCACTAACGTCATTCCTTAGCCAGCCCCCATCACAGCCGTGCCCGCGTCGTACCTGCTCCATGAACACGATTAAGGACTCCCGGTTATTCTCCCACTCCTCGGGCAGCTGGCTCTCGTGCGGGTATTTATCACATCCCACGTAGATGGACAGCTCGAAGCAGTTTGTGTGAAGGTAGCTGAAATCGTTGAGACCTGCCAAGCCAACCGGAGAATGTTTTAACCGAAACGGTGCTCAAAGTGGCCCTGGGAGACAGCAAGAACATTCAAGAATGTGATTCAGAAGACTTCATCGGAACAAGGAGGTCTCAAGTATCTCCTTTAGACAAAAAAAATCAATTTAGAGTAGCCGTTCGGGGATGGAACGGGGGCTGAGAGAGAGAGAAGATGCAGGTGAAATGGTTTAGGGGGAAGCCTATGTATGAGAAATTCTTTGACAAAAGGAAGGCAGAAATAAGTGTTTTTTCAGATAAAATTATTTTTATTTTATTAAACTCAGTTTTAATCCTATGTTTAGAATAAAGGCATCATTAATAGTATCGATGTTTTGTGTTTAATTAAATTGAGCTCAGTAGTTAAGCTGCTCTCAGCAATAGCTCTGCAACTGTAGAATAAAAACTGTATAGTTTTCTATTCTAGTTCATAAAAACTGCTACCCATACCACCATTTACTGAGTGCCTTCCATAAGCCAGAAGCCATCCTTAGCTCTCTGCATCCCAGGTCACTCACTCTTCATCACAAACACAGCAGAGAGGTTTTACAAATACGAGAATTGAGGCAGAGAATGCTGAAGGAATGTATCCAGAATCACGCGTCTGGAAAGAGTCAGTGTCTGAACCCACGTGTGTGTAACGCCTGCACCTGTCTCATCACTGCTCGGGGGACTGAAGGGCAGATCCGCTCACCGCTCAGCTCAGAAGCAGCCGGCCTCCAGCATCCTGACATGACCACAACAGGAGTTGGTCCCTGTGTCAGTTTCTTAGAGCTGCTGTTACCAGTGACCACACACTGGGTGGTTTAAAATAACAGAGAATTATCCCCTCCTAGTTCCAGAGGCCAGAAGTCCAAAATTCAGGTGTGGGTAAGGCCACGCTCCCTCCAAAGCCTCCAGGGGAGGAGCCTTTCTTGTCTCTTCCGGCTTCTGGTGGCCCCTGGCCTTCTTGGCTTGTGGCCACATCACTCTCATCTCTGTCTCTGTCTTCACAGGACCTTCTCCTCAGCATCAGTGTCTTCCCTTCTGTCCCTTATAAAGACATTTGTCCCTGATTTTAGGGCCCATCTGGGTCACCCATAATGACCTCTTCTTGAGACCCTAACTTACAGCTACAAAGACCACTTTCCACATAAGGCCACACTCATAGGTTCTGAAGACCAGGAAGTGGACGTAGCTTTTGAGGGTCCCCTTCAACTCACTACAGCGCCCAGTGTTTGCAGAATGAATAAATGGATGTCTGATGGCATAAAGTTCCAGTGGCTGTCTTCCCAACAGTTTTGTTTTTGGAGAACAGGGTGATTAGCAAGAACACGCTGCTGGTACTTCTGTGTAACGGCCAGGAGGTACTCCCCCAGCAGAAGGCGCCTCCAGCATCCCTCCATGGGCTCTGAAGATCAGGGGTAGAGGGAGTCAGGTGGGCCGGTTTCCCTGTGTTGACTGCGAGAAAGAGCAGGTCCTCCTGCACGTCCGCCGGCCTCGGTGCTCGCCCGTGCTGTCCTCTGTCCCTCCCCACTGTGCTCAGCGATGCGTTCCTCAGCACGAAAGTCACAGCTTTGGGTGTCAAGGGCAATTCTGTATCAATCTTCCACCTAATGGATAAAGCCACAGACAGAATGGTCCAAAATTCACGGCCCCTCTGTCTACCAGGTTCCAGACTTGAACAATTCGCCTGTCATCAGCCACTGGCCTTTGATCACATCTGTGATACAGTAAGGCCAGTGACGGCAGTGGGATACCAGGGGTGGGATGGTGCCAAGTTAATGGAAAATCCTTCCAGGGCCTGGTCTGGTTGAAGTAGGTAGGTCAAAATGCCAGGTTAAGTCATCCAGTGGAACCCGAGGTGTGGAATGATGGAGAGCCAGGGGAAGACCACAGACATGCGCCATTTGCTTTAAGAGTGGTAGATAACAAAGGATATCAAACTATATACATGTGAAAAAAAAAAGGTCTGTGCGCCCGGACCTCCTGGGAGGGCTGGACTCCTCTGCACATGCACAATTCTCATGACCCCAACCTTTGAGGCCCTGCTACTACTGGATAAATAAATGTGATATTAAAATCCCTGGAGCAGTCCTGCCATTTCGCAGCGTGTCTGTATCTTCAAAGACCACGAGGGCTAGAAGAATCGGCAAAATGATGAGACAGCAGAAGAGCAGTGGGAAAGCTTGGGCCAGGCTGTCTTTAAAGCTGAATTCCAGCCCTTTGGTGAATGTCATGCAGCTGAGAATCCTTAGTGAGAAGTGGCTTCAAAAGCGAACCGTGTGGGCAGGAGCCATGGGGTGACCCAGATAGCTCTTGCCTGGCCTTGGGTCCTGGCAGGGACCGCGGGGCTTGCTTTGTGTTCTCTCTTCGCCTGGAGTCCTGCTCTTGTCACAGCTTCAACATGCAACTCGGGGCCGTGCCTTCCTTGAAGCTCTGTGCGCCCAGTGCTATCACGACATCTGCCTTCCTTGGTGGGGAGAGGACGTGGGATGGCAGCCGACACCAAGAAGGTCCCGCATCCCTTTGGAGTTGAAGCACACACACTACAAATGATGTGCCTTTTGAGCTAGACTGAGCCTGGCTGTTCGCTGCCCACACTCCCCATTAACTCAGGCCTGTCAGTGCGCTGGTAATGAGTGAGCAAGTCCCAAGCACAAAGGAGGAGGGAAGGAAATTAGAAATCGCATGTCATTCATCTACAAAGAAATGAATCTGCAGACTTCATCACACCGCCAGGAGGGAGAATGATTAAAAAGGCTCGAGTCACCACCACATGGCTCGGCCATGAAAGTCCTTGAAATTGTGGAAAATATAATTGATAGAAACAAATCAAATGCTGCTGATGTGATTATGTGGCCCCAAGTTTTCAAGACATTGCTACTGACCCGCTGCTGACAAATCCAGCAGCATCCAGACCCAATTTAGTCAAAGCAGCCATAAAGAAGAAACAGACAGGAGTGGGAACCCTACTTCAGGATAACACCTGCACCCCAATGTTCATAACAGCACTATTTACAATAGCCAAGACATGGAAACAGCCTAAATGTCCATCAAAGGATGACTGGATAAAGAAGATGTGGTATATTTATACAGTGGAATACTACTCAGTCATAAAAACCGACAACGTAACGCCATTTGCAGCAACATGGATGCTCCTGGAGAATGTCATTCTAAGTGAAGTAAGCCAGAAAGAGAAAGAAAAATACTATATGAGATCACTCATATGTGGAATCTAAAAAACAAAAACAAACAAAAAAACAAAGCATAAATACAAAACAGAAATAGACTCACAGACATAGAATACAAACTTGTGGTTGCCAAGGGGGCGGAGGATGGGAAGGGATAGACGGGATTTCAAAATTGTAGAATAGATAAACAAGATTATACTGCATAGCACAGGGAAATATACACAAGATCTTATGGTAGCTCACAGAGAAAAAAATGTGACAATGAATATATATATATATATGTTCATGTATAACTGAAAAATTGTGCTTTACACTGGAATTTGACACAACATTGTAAAATAATTATAAATCAATAAAAAATGTTAAAAAAAAGAAACAGACATTTTGCATCAAGATTATTGTGGGGTTTTAGGGCTAGAACTGAAAAAGAATGGGCGCTTTTGGCTCTTAGCACATTTTCTTGCTAGATAGGAATTTGCATTTCTTTCTTTTTTATTTTGTACAGAGCAAAACCATGATGGAGATAAATATAACACCTCTGCTTGGTATATAACCAAGAAAAAAAGTGGCAAGCTTTCTGTACATGTTTTAAAATGGTCACAGGAACCAATATGTCTACAGCTTTTTAATGTTTCTTTCCCAAGGGCAGGAATGTACCTTAAAAGTATGTGAAGACTGGAATCTCTAGCAAAGTAAAATAAAGTTAATTAGTACAGTAAAACAGAGAATAAGGATATGCTCATAAAAGAGGTTTCATGGTGAGCGTGCTCCTGGAAGAGAGGGGAGGATAGGGGGTGGGAACTGATCATAACTGAGTGTTTCTGATAAGCTAGACATGGAACATACACCTCCATCATCTACACAATCCTTACAACAGTCCCAGATGAATCATTATCATCATCATCATAATCATCAAGCCCATCTTACAAATGGAAACTATAGGGGTTCAGAGAGGCAAAGTAACTTGCCCAGAGTCACACAGCAATTAAGTGGTGAGCTAGAATTTGAACCCAGGTCTGTCTGACATGGGGTATTTTTCAAATACATCAGTGGTTTGACCAATCTTCACAAAGTCAAGAAAACAAGCAATGAACACTATGTTTGGGATCTTGCCATCCCAATGCAGAGTGACCTTAGGGAATGTGACATCCTCAACTCTCCTCATTTTGGGGCCCTAGGTCAGGAGCAGTCCTGACATAGGAAATAAAGGGCTTGTCCTGGAACTTGGATCACAGGGTCCTCTGGCTGTTGCGAAGGAAATCCCAAAATCTCTGCTGGAAGCCTCTCTGTGCTAAGTGGATGCTGGGAACAGTACCACATACTCCCTGCATCACAACAGTGGGACTTCAGCTGGTTGCTCTGGTATGCCAGTGAACAGGAGATTTGTGACAGTCTTCTCCATGTGCTGGGCCTCCAGACACACCTGTTGCTCCGAGTCACTTCACTCTTGAGCGTGGGATCAAAGCCCTGCCCCCTCCCGGGGCTGACAGCTAAAAGCCCTGGCTCCAGCGCCAGCACCAGGGTGCCCTCTGCCTCTTTGCCGGGTTTGCTTTTTGGTCCAATATTTCCCGTAAATCTACCTTTACCATCTGTGACCCTGTAACATCCAGATAGCTCAGTGGTTAAGAACAGACCGCAGGGTCACACAGACCCCAGCTCTTCCCGTGGGAACTTGGACGAATCCTTTCCAGTCTCCAAACCCCTGTTCTCTCATTTATAAAATGGGGAGTAAGCCACACCCCGCTCAAAGGCTACTGTAAGGATTAAAGAGGAGTCTATGCAGAGTGCTGGCACCTTGTGCATGGTTAACTACGGTAGCTATTATGCTGATAACAATGATAAAAGGATGCTGGGGAGGAGGTGGTCCCCAGGGTACCCCCTTCCCAGCAGTCCATTGTCATTTGGCCCCACGAGGACAGCAGGGCCATGCAAGACTTACTTCCGGCCACAGTGTGCCAGGAAGCCCCGTTGACAGTCCCATCCTCTTTCTGGAAGTCTTCCGTGTGGCACACCCTCCTCCTGGCGTCCGTCATGAGGCGGTGGGTGGAGGCGTACGAGTAGGCCAGCCAGCGGAACACGTGGTCGTCGGGCGTGGGGCTGCGCTCCTGCGTCTTCCACAGTGACCGCACCATGTCATAGGGGTAGGCCACCACCAGCTCGCCCCCCTGCAGGTTGCCGCCCAGCACAAAGGGGATTTTTTTCCATCCAGGCTATGACGGCCCGGGTCTCCACCGCCACCTGTCAACATTCCAAATTTAAACAAACTTGAGAAATAAAGTAAGAAGGAAACTGCTTTCTCTCCCTGACTTTCCAAATAGGGACATCGTTGAAAAGGCAATCATTTTAAGGAATAATCTTGGCAAAATTTAGAGTTTCAAAATCTGTCCTGGGAAAACTGGACATTGTAGAAATAATGGGTTAAAAAAGAGAAAACCAGAGAAGTTTCTTTTTGTAGGAATATCGCAGCTAATGCACAAAGCAGGAATGGCAGAATTAGAATATCAACATTTTGCCATTCCACTGAATTCATGGATCAGGTGGATGAATGAATGCTCACCAGTGGTTACAAAGAGCACAGAAAGAGATATGACCAAACATGATGTATCTCCTGATGAAAGAACACACACATCTTTAAAAAAAACAAATCAACCCTGAATCTGACCAAGCTGCTAGACCAGGGGTCAGCAAACTTTTTCTATTAAGGGCCAGATGGGGAATATTTCAGGCTATGAGAGCCACGCTGTCTGTAGCAACTGCTCAGCTCTGCCATTGCAGTAGGGCGGAACCATGCACAACATGCAGCTGAATGAACACGGCTCTGTTCCAGTGAAACACCAGCTACAGAAACTGGGCGGGACATGACCCAGCGGCTGGAATTTACCAGCCCCTCCCGGTTCTGTCCAGCCCAGTGGTCTGAATCCCACTGCCAGCTTACAGGGAACATGGAAGAATACGATACATGACGTCACAAGAATACAGTTAGCAGAACCCAGACGGTGGAAAATGCTAGAAGGCAACCTAGTTGCTTACAACCTAGTTGTTACAAGATAAGCAACAACAACAGAATTGTAAGAAAAAAGGGAGAAAGGGATACAGGAGAAACGTACAGGTTAAAGGAGACTTGAAAGACTTATAAACCCATCAAAACAAATGGGCTTTAGCTGGATCCCAATTAAAATAAACTGTAAAAGAGAGAGAGATGGAGAATGGTTAAAGGAGAAGTGCGAACACTGACTGGATATCTTACAATATTAAGAAATAATTTATTTTGATATGATAATGGTAATAATTTATGGCTTTAAAAGGGAGTCTGATCTTTTCAAGGTACTTACTGAAATATCTACAAATGAAATGACACTGTACCTGGCATTTGCTTCAATAACCTTGTGGAGGAAGAGAAAGTGGCTGAGGATACAGAAGAAACATAGTTGATAAGTGCTGAAGTTGCGATGGGCACATGGTGGAGGGGAGGGTCCTTTACAGCTTTCTTGCTAATTTTGTATGCCTGACTTTTTTAATGATAAAAAGTTAAGAGAGAAAAAGAAAGGAAGAGAGGGAGGGAGAGGAAGAAAGAGAGAGGTGGGGGGGGAGAAAGAGAAAGACAAAGAGAGGAAGGAAGGAAGGAAAGAACGAAGGAAAGAGAGAGAAAGAAGAGGAACTGACAATGTTAGGAGCCAAAATTGGAAAGCTTGATACGGTCAAATACTGATCAATGAATCAAATATTTATTCTAAGTCACTGATCTCTTTGAAGATAATATTACCAGTAGAAAAAAAAATAATAACGGAATAGAAATAAACATTGGAAATGGCTTAACTGTGCAATATAAAAAATTGATCAAAGAATGAAGGTGACTTGATGGATTCATTAGGCTTGGTTTTGTGTTTGTTTCTAAACACATCAGGAGCCCTGGATTAGACTGATCATAGAACACAGGATCATTATTGGTCCACACTTGGCCCTCTTCTTTCATATTTGTTGGCCTAACAAGCACCTGTGAACCCACCATCCATCCCAAGAACCAGCTTTTATTGACAATTTCTGCATAATGTGTGATGCCCTCTGTCCCATCCTGCTTCTCACACGGAGGTAACAACTATAACCTAAACGTACAATCAGATATGATTCTGATTCTCGTTTGTTTAAATCTGTATGTGTATGCCTAGCAAATATGTTATTTGGCTTTACTTTCTTTTGATCTAAGAAAAGGAGGAGCACCCATACTGATCATTGTCTTCTATAATCCTTTCCTCTTAATTTTTAAGACTTATCTGTGTTGTTGCATAAAGCTATATAGTTCAGTCTTTTTCACTTAAATATGAAGATCTCATTTAATGTATCTGTCCTTCTGATGATGGGCACATAGGAAATTTTCAAGTCTTGGCTATAATGAACTTTTTTTTTAACTTGTCCTATCTTCTGGTACACATGTGCTGAAATTTATCTTGCATAAAACACCAGAAGTGTAATTGCAGTCATAGATATATACATATTCCACTTTATGAGATAAATTATTTTCAAAGTCACTATGCTAATTTATGCTCTCACCCACGATATATAAGAGATTCGCTGTCCCATATCCTCTCCAATGCTCAGTTACTGTTAATTTTGCCAATCAATATGTATAAAATGTTCTCTTATCAGCATTTCCTTAGTACTAGTAACGCTCAACATCTTGTCTTGTCTGTTAACCATATGTTTCCTCCTCCATGAATTGCCTCTTTGTATCTTTTACCCATTTTTCTCCTAAGTTGTTATTTTTCTCATTTGTTATTTTTTATATTTAAAAAATCTATTTCTTTTCCAATTATACAATTTTCAAATAACTTCCCTCAGTTTCCAGCTTCTCTCATGATAGTTTTCAAAATCTTTTGATGAACAGGATTTCTTGTTTTGATGCAGTTGAATTTATTAATCTTTCATTTTATAATTAATGCCATTTAAAATAGCTTTCCTCACCCTGAAGAATCCTTGTAAATGGTTGTTAAATTTTATCAAATGCTTCTTTCTGCAAATTATTTCTTTTCTTTTTTTTTTAACCACTTCATTGATTTCTGCTCTTTTTAATAACAATCTTTCTACATTCTAAGGAGTTCTTCCATTATTCTTTTGATAGCTTCTGTAGTTAACGTTCAGCCTTTCTTCTGCTGGAACATAGTCGTTCAAAGGCATACATTCCTGAAAGCACTGGGTTTTTTGGGGTTTTTTTTTTTTGCTGTTCTCCACAAATTTTGATATTTAATGTTCTCATTATCACTATTTCTAATAATTTTTTAGTTGCCAGTATGAACTTTTCTTTGGCTCACTACTTAGAAGTTGTTTTTTAAATTTTCTAAATACCTGGCGATGTTTTCATCTTGCCTGATCTTACCTTGATGCTATTACTGTCGGCTAGTTTAACTGTATGGTGGTGAAACAACCCCAGTCCGCCTGACTCCTGTTTCCTGAACTGCGTTGAGATTTCCTTTACAGGTCAGAGCATCATCAATTTTTGAAAATGCTCCAGAGATAATTCAGAAGAATATGTATTCTCTACTTGTTGGCTGTAGAATTCTTCTAGATCCCTATGCTGTGTTTCTAAAGAACAAGCTCAAAAAACTAAATTCCAGTCTTAAAGCAAAGACTGAAAGCCAGGGACTTTCTCTCACTGGGCTAAAATAATTACTTCTCTCTTAGAGCCTCAAAAAGAGCTTAGGAAGTTGGCAACCGTACTCCAATTTTGGTCCAAGGATTCCCAAATTATAACATCACTTGAATCCTCAGCTTTGCCAAATGTCATTAGTATGTTAACTTGAAAAAAAAAGGGGGGGTGGATTCTGTAGGATGGAGTTAGCAATGTGAGAAAGGATTCAGAATACCCAGAGGCCCCGAATCCTTTACACCCCCATCAACTGCCCCAGGGCATCCTAACTCAAGCACCCTAAAGCAGCCACACAGTATTGCCACTGTCCACCCCATCATTTGACGTCCATCCCCATCATTTGACTGGTTGCTTCTTGAGAGCCTGGATAACACCATCCTGTGCAACACTAAATGAGGCAACCATGATGGCCCTCCTCCAGGAAGGGGTACCCACGTGTGCCGTGAGCTGGAGCTCTGAGACAGCGCAGGAGAGCTGCCTTCTATCCAGTCATCCTTTCTCCCTTGATTCTCCAAGAAGAGAAGCCAATTATTATTGTTGTTGTTATTATTTTGAGCTTGCAATGTGCTTGCCTAAAATATAGCATTACCCAGCCTTCCGTGTGGTAGGTTGATGCCATGTTTTGACTAAATTCTGGCCAATAAGATTTAAACAGAAGTCTTATGTAGGAATTCTAGGAATGCCTCTTGGAGTTAACTGACTTATCAGAGAGGAGGACTTTTTTTTTAACCTTTTCTCTTCTCTTCCTTCAAAAACATGACAGCTGGAGCATCAAGATGGATCTGCCATCTTGGACTTTGACCTTGAGGGTGAAACTCCACATGCTAACAAGTGGAGGCAGAAAGACAGGTGATGTCTGGGTTCCTGATGATCGAGGGGCTTCTATTTAGCTGGCTCGGAACGATCTGCCTCCAGGGTCCTTTGATGAGAGAAAAGAAAGAAACTTCTATCTCGTGAAGCCACTGCTATTTTGTGCTTTTTTCTGTTGTTGTAGCTAAACCTGACCCTCACTTATACAGCAATCAAGACAGACCTCTTGAAGGACATATAAGATCAAAGACTAAGGGTAAAGAGAGCTTACTGTGGGCAAAGGAGGCAATAAGAGGCATGGGACATTCTGTGAAAATTATTTCTTCTGCAAGAAACTCTTTGTGAAACTGGACTTAAGAAATTTGGTGGAAACATTTCTCATCCAATTGCATTTTTCTTTCTGAAGATGCACCACATGTAATAAATCCATGGGAACTTATTAAAATAAAAATAACATATCTCAAGTAGTCAGTGAGGTCTAAGGAGGACCATTTCATTGCAATCTCCTAACACTGCCAAAGGGGAGGGTAATAGCAACAGACACACACAATTCGGGCAAAGTTTTTTTTTTTTGAAGCACTGTGTAGTTGTAAAGAGAGATAATTAAATGATTTCTAGAAAGAATCTCCTCAAATGTCAATCTAAAAAGTAGTTGTAATCTAGCACACTTCCTTACTTTCAGGGAACACATGAAAGAAAAAAATGATTTTTGTTTTGTTTTTAAATGTTGCATCCTCTGCAAATACCAGTGGGTGTTAACTTTGGCCTCCGCTGCTCTACCGATTCTGGGGTATTTCTACTCACCGTGGCATTTTCAGACAGAAACCACTCAGGGATTGCAATATAGTGATTGGGAACTTTCCTGGGGATGCCCTGCCGGTCCTCGGCCTCCCAGAGCAGCGTGTTTAAGTCTGGAAAGTTGTTGTTGATGTCAATTCCATCGTGGGTCCAGCGTCCCAGGGACCAGCCTCCCAGCTCCGAGCCCTGGGAAACAATTTAGAACATGAGGAATCCACAGACTTCTGGATCATTCTGTCTCCATCATCTCCATCTCCATCTGGGGCGTATCTCTAAGTCTCTACACATCCTCTGCCCCAAAGATGACATCCAAAGGAGGACACTGAAACAGCTTCTATTAAAACTTGGTGGGTGATGGGTGATGGGTGATACAGCCTAAATCGCTCCCAAGAGGGAACGCACAGAATCACTCCTGCCACGTGACAGTGCTAAAAAAGTATCGGATCCCTCCTTCCCCCTCTTCCCTCATCTCCCCTACCCTGGTCAAATGAAACTCCAAGTTGTGACGAGTCTAAGACTTCGTCACTGCAAATAAACAAAAGCCACCGCATTGATGCGTTCTCCCTGCAGTCTGGGCTCGCTGCTTAGCACGGCAAATCCCCAAGCAACTGCTGGCACCAATAAACACAACCAGAATTCTGCGTTGTAAAACTTGCACTCGATAGGTGCCGTTAAGTACAGTTTTCTATTTTATTCGCAGATATTGCGATATGTGTAATTATGAATACACAATACAGCCTTATACTAGCTGTATTCCATACACAGTTTTATACATAAGTATATTCTAGACAAAAGTATAACCTTTAAAAATTCGATGTCATAATTAGAATATGAACTATAAACAATATACCAGAATAATAAACACAGCTGTCCTCAGAGAACTGCTTAGAGGACCGCAGGTAATAATCGAGGTTAGAACACGCCTTAATGAAGCACTCCGTCAGCGTTGGGTGGCATTACTATTCCATTCTATTGATCCTATTGTGTGTCTATAGCAATATCGCTGTTCGCGGTCATTTTCTTCAGTCTGTTAGTGCGTCCAGCTCCCAGGGTCCCCATAGTGCTCAGTTACTGCTGTGCACCTCTCATAAGCCTCGTGGGCTTCCCTGGCTCAGCAGAAAGGCACTCAGAAAGATAACTGGTCACGCGGGATTCAGATCAGCTCCCGGCGCAGCGCGCTGCACCGGCGGGCCGAGCTGCCGGGCGGGGTGGGAGGAGCGGGCCATTACCCCCTCGTAGGCCTTCTCGTAGCCGTCGGGGTTGAGGGAGGGGAGGATGTGGATGCGGGTCTCCTCCACCAGGTGGACGATGCGCTCGTTCCCCGCCAGGTACTCCTGGCACAGGAACTGCATCAGCAGAAGCATCAGCTCCCGGCCCAGCACCTCGTTGCCGTGGGCCCCCGCGATGTAGTGGAACTCGGGCTCACCTTTACTCGGAGAAGGGAAAAAACACAGGATCACACGGATGCCTACAGCAAAACAGTCCTAATCGCATTGTATTAGGGGGGAAAAAATTCTCTGAATAATAGAAACTTACAATTTTAGCCCTAGCTGTTCTTTCAAATCAACACGACTATATCACTACCGTTTTTATTAATTCGCAGAGAGTCAGCTAGAAAAATCTCAGATGACACCAACCACAGGGTAGGGCGGTTTTCTCTTATCTTAGTATGAGCAGATAAAATAACACAGTGTTTAGTTTAAAATTTGCAAATTAAACACGAGGCATAGCAAAAACAAACAAAAACACAAGTCACAGCAATTACTTTTCTCTTTGGGGAGGCAACTATTTTTCTCAAAAAGAACTTGGTGTTCAATTTGACAAGGACACGAAGATGAATAAATATGAGCAGATATTAGAGTCAGGGCAGGTCGGCAATGGTGGAATTGTGCAGCAGGGGCTGCCTTTCCGCTTGTCTTCGAAGCTCAGCTTTTTCAGTGCTGGGACTTCTCAGTGCTGGGCATGAGCTGCCACTTCCGCTTCCCTGGCTGGCAAACCTACTGCTTTTGAGGAAATGTGATTTTACCTGCAGATATAAAGCCCTTACCCTTTAAAAGAATCTCCCAAGAGCAACTCCTGAAACTCTGATGAATGTTAACGTTGAGAGAATCAGACAAATCTCTGCATTTAAATTTCAGTGGATTTCTAAATTTTACCAAAAAGAAATATCTTTGAGTACTACCCACCCCTCCAAGACCTGTAGGCTAACATATTTTGGGGAGCGATTAAAAGAGAAATGGCTGAAAACAGGATTGGATTTAAAAAAAAATTAAGGGAACCACCTCAAACTTGAGCCATTAATGACCAGGGAGCCCAGAATTTTCTCCTGGAAAAGAACTCTGTCCTAACCATCACCAGGCATTTTCTTCTTGGGTTAGTGTGACTGGTCTCAGAGATGGAGAACAGAATTAAGTATGGTCCATTTGGAGAAAAGGAGGGTATTTCTAGCTTAAATAACTTGACAGCCCATATCATAAAGTGAGGGTTCACCGAGCCAAAACCTGCAGAACCCGTCTGTGAGAGTGGGTGCGTGGACAGCTCCCACTCTATTTTGTGAATGTTCTCACAGGGTGAGCCACCTCCGTGCTCTTTAAGAAAGCACCGGACATGAAGGGCCAGGGGCACTGCCGAGGGGCAGCCTCACCGACTTCATGCTCCCCAGGGTGGTCGGAGATCTCCACGGCGTACAACTTCAGGCCCTGGTGGCTCTTGCCGATGTTGTAAATCCTGGTGATGTTGGGGCACATTTCATTCACCACCTTCATCAACTGAGACACAGACAAGATTTAAGGCTGTAGGCAATGATGGCTGTGCACTGAAGAGGGCGGAGCTCTCAGGAAGACAGCCCCCTCCCACAAGCCCCTGCCTGTCCCCACCCTCCCGCACACCAGTGCTGGCCCGCTGCCTGGAATGCCCGCCTGGTGCCCCCTCTGCCCCGTCCTCCAGCGCCTCCTGCTTGTGTTTATCACCTCCTGGGCTGCAGTATCACCTCCCTGGGTGGTATCACCTCCCTTGGTGGGAGTGACAACTCCTTGGTCTCATATCCCTTGGTGATAGCATGACTTCCCTTGGTGCTGGAATCACCTCCCTTGGCTGTGGTATCACCTCCCTTTGTGGTGGTGTCACCTCCCTTGGCTGTGGTATCACCTCCCTGGATGGCTGTATTACCTTTTCACTTCAGTTTCCCACCTTCCTACTGTCCCCTCATTAGACTGCAGGTCTTATAAGAGACAGACTGAGCCTTTTCTCTCTGTATCTTTGCCTAAATAAACATTTATTCCTGAATATCACTTTTTTCTTACAACTGAATGAGCATGTATGATGGCAGGCTGAGGAGACACCCACTGCTCCCCCCCCCGCCCTGGAGCTTGCAGCACAGCGGCAGAGACATCCCATCACCGCTGCACTGATGCTGCACACGGGGCCCAGGAGGCCAGGGTGATGGGAGTTGTACAGGGAGAGGGCAGGGGAGCAGGCTTCCACGAGGAAGTAAAACATGCAGGTGTCGGTTCCTGAATTTTGCTTTGATGCTCGGTCAAGCTCATCAGACAAGCGGCCAGAGGAGGGGAGGAGGGTCTGCCAGCTGTAGGAGCATATGTCACCCTGGCGGGGGAGGACAGAGACACCCTCGCCAGAGGCTGCCGTGCCTCCCATCTCTAAGCAGGTGCCTGTGAGTGAGCTTTTGAGTCGCCTTGAGTTTCTGCATGAAACTGTCTAGCTCTGGTTCCAAGGCTGTCTCAGCCAGGCACCAGCTTAGCCACACTTCCCCGCGGTGGGGGCAGGAACATTCAGAAGACACCTTCGTGACTGTGTCAGAGACCAGGAGGGAATCTCAATGATACAGAAGCAGCGGGAAAGGACATCCCAGCCAGCGCAGTGGGCGGGCAGGTGCCCAGTAGGGAGGGCTTCATCCTTTTGCAAGATGAGCTGGAGCTGGGCTGGTGGTGCCGAGAGGAAGGTCGTGGCCCACAGAGGGATGGCGTGGGCCTGGGCAGACTCTAACCACCTTTCAAAACATCCTCCATCAACTGAATGATCCACAAAATGTCCTTGTAAATTGTAAACAAACAAATCTGTCACAAATGTTTATGGTTAGGTTTAAAATCTATGAGAACTGAAAACTTGGTATCATGAAGAATTTCGGATGGAGCGAAATCACATGGCCGTGCATCCTTCCTAACACAGCCTCCTGCACTGCCTGGCTGGAGATGTGTTCTCGGAGCAGCCAGGAGTATTTCTAAAGGAACAGTGGGACTTCTTGCTGCTGGCACTTTGCCCTTAGGACACACCTACAAGGTGTGACAGCTGCAGCCCTGCTCAGGCATGCGGGGTCTCATTCTCCTATGGCTCCAGGGAGGGGAAACATGCTTCATTTTAGGATAACTCACTGTGTGTTACACTGTCCAGGTGAGAGAAAGAGAAAGCTGACTCTAAAAGACTCTCGTTCACAAGAGGGCAGAGGCAGAAACCCACCATCAGTGGAGAAACCACATGCAAGCAAGATGAACACAGCTTCCACCCCTCTCACCGCAAGGGAGACCTGCTGTGGGGCTGACGTGGAGCCACCTATGAGAGGCGCCATGTTTCAACAAGAGACCAGTAATAATGTCACTAGTAATGTTGACTGTGGCAGCAATAGTTCTATTTCTCTACTGAATCTCACCACTGAGGCAGATAAGGCAGAGGGTACTGTCCCCATTCTACAGGTATGGAGACTGAGGTTCTGAGGGATACCCAACTGGTACCAGGTGGAGCCAGGGCTTTGGACTCTTGGGGTTCTTATCTGTCCATGAAGGCGCAGCAAAGCAGTGAGAACCAGCACACCCAGCTGCCTCTCTGGTCTGCTGCACAGGGTGACTGTTCTGAAAGACGGCCACAGCACAATCACCATCTGATCTGGGGCCTCGCATACCAGTCCCTGCTGATCGCACAGTCATCCTCAGCTGCCAGCCTGGACTTCGGCAAATCCTGATCAGCAAGTCAGATCAATGACCAGTTCTGCAGACACAGAGCTCAGCTCATCCTTAACTCAGGGATCAACACAAGCATTCAGCACAGAGCCTGGCTGTCATTGAATACCTACCCTCCTTCCCTTTTCAATGAGCTGCTGGAAAAATGCCAGAGATCATGACCTTGACACTGGAAAAGGATACATAGCATCTTCCCTTGGATGCACAGTTAGCCATGGATACAGTCTCTTGGGATGCGGTGACTCTTGGCCATGAGTCATCGGAGTCACCTGTTTATACTCTTGTGGTATTTTTATACCAGTCACGTTTTCCTTGTGTTGTGATATCACAAGCATCTTTTCCATTCATAAGAACAAGAACACGGGCATTTGAAGACCCCCGTTAGGAAGGTGTGCCAGGCAGGGTTTCTCTGGTGGCCACCAGCACCGTCAAAGACCGAGGTGGTGATCCACTTTGCTTATTCCCGAAAAGAGTCAAAAAGGATTTTTTGGAATTTAGGTCTTAGCAGTAAATGTTTGGGTCTTGATGTTTAAAGTGAGAGAAAGGAACAGAATTTTCTTTATGGCCTGAAAGCATGCTTTCTCAACATCACCCTAAAGGAGGCGAAAATTGGTTCTTGGGGGCTCCTAATCTTGGATATTACAATGCTTTGTGATCCTCCAAAGCTCAGCCCTACCCTACAAAATCTTAAGCCCTAGCATTTAATATAGTGAGTATAATGGGTAATTTTAAAAAGTATCTAAAAAGGGCCAGTAAGGAAACATGGTTGAGAAACACTGCCCTACAGAGTAGAGAGGTTTGTAAGACTCTGAGCATCCTTAGGACTGGTTCCTCATCTCTGAGGTGGGAGTAAATCCCATCCTGGGAGCTACTGGATTCCAGGCTTTGTTGCGTCCCTCCTGTCCTGAAGGAGACAGAGGAAAGAGCTCCTTGCTTAGTAATTCAGTTTCTAGCTACACATCAGGGACATTTTTCATAAAGAACGGTCAATTACATGCACAAGGATACTTGCTGTGGCATGCTTCATCCTCTCTCAGTAGTCATGAAGAATGGGGAGCTACCCAGATGCTCCAGAGCAGAAAAGTAGCTGAGAAAACCATGATGCACCCGCTCACTGGAGCATCCTGTAGCCTTATAATGACAATTATGAAGACAGCATGAGCCCTGGCTACTGATCCCAGGTTAACTGAGAAAACCTGGGGCAAAGCTGTAACCATCCTCTGATCAAAATCGTATGAATTCTGTGAACAGAGAAATTCAAACCGTGGCTAGAAATAGGGGAACATGTAAACTGCTGATTCTTGAGGGCAGTGAGTTCATGGAGGATTAACCTTGAGACTTTTGCTTTGCATTTGATATGGATAAAAGGTTGTTCATCCAATGAATGAAAATGCTTAATAAAATAAAGAGGGGAGAAGAGAAAAACTCCTCTTCCATCACCTTGACTCATTTGCCTGAGAAACAGACAACGCATCTGATCAGGTCAAAAGGAATTTCAGAGAGAGCAGGGAGGGAGAGAGCCGAGGTAGGAGGCATCCCAGGGGCGAGGAGCTGGCTTGTCTGGATCCGCAAGCCTGTGGTCCTGCCCTGGCTTCCTGCCCGTCACCCACGCGCAAGGTCAGGAGCTCAGCGGCAACACAGCCCACTGCCCACGAGCAGCCTTAGCTGCCTGCAAGTCAGAACCACTGGCTGCCTGCCTTCCAATCCACGTCTTTACTTGACTTCTTTCCACTGCATCCACACTGCTTATCAACCAGCCAACCAGACTTCCTGAGCACTTGGGACCTGACACTGCCAGGCCCCCAGCCAAAGTCAAATCTCTACCCTCTCCTCAGAGCCGCTTCTTTTCTCCCACTGTGGATGGTATTCCACCCCCCGGGAAGCACACTAGGCCCCCCTCTCGTCCCTACTCATCGGGGAGACCTGGGACTGGCCAGTCCACCCCATCCCTCTCCTGGGGACAGAGCCAGAGGTCACCAGTCTACAGGTCATACAACTTCCAGATGGAGGTCCCCAAACACAGCTCTGCTCACAGAGGGAACCCCCCAGTTCTCAGACTCAGGACAAGATGCTCTCCCAGCACGCAGCCAGCCTCCTCTCCCGGCACTGCCAGCTGCCCCAGAAACACGCACTCCCTCCACCGACACACGCTGGCCCTCCCGGTCCTCGCTGCTCAGAGCACGCCTCTGTCCGTCTCTGCCCGCTGCAGGCCCTGGGTGACAGCTGACCTCGTCTGCACCCCCAAGTCTTCCCAACCGTGGCCAACCATGCCGCTCACTTCTCCCTCCTGTTCCCCAAATATCTCCCTTGTAACGACCTCAGATGTACACAGGTATCCAGGACACATCATGAATTTAAGGTAAAATGACAGAGCTTCTGCCCTTGTGGTCCCAGGTGAGGAAGAAATGCACGGCACACGCGGACACAGAGATGATGAAGCCATGAGAAGCGGTGACACGCTGTGGAGGCCTTGGGCATGCAGAACAATTAACTCTCTCTGCCTCACATCACCAGAGTTTGTGCCACTGTCTCCTGCCCCCACCCCCACCCCCACCCCCCAGCCCCCGGGGCTCCCCTTACCGGGAGAAGAGTGTCATATAAGTCGACGCTCTTGAAATATTTCTTGCACACAAGAGTCACTCACATTCTCACGATTTCCCCTCCAATGCAATAGCTGTTCTGTTTTCTCTTCTCACTTCCTGCTCCTGCGTCTGCTTCTCATTTTGTTGTTTTTTGTGAATGTCTCTCTCAATCCTAGGATTAACTCACATTTTCTTCCCAAAGCAGAAAGATTTCTACAGCAATCTAGCAGACTCCATACAGGGAATTATTAAAAGTGCTGGCTTCACCGCCATCCCCAGGAGCCAGGAAGCCAAATGGCAAATCACTTCTGGTTTGAACACTCTTCAGGATTGACAGAGCCCCTCCCACCCCACTCCGGACAGTTTCCAATGGAGTGTTGTGGGGTCCTGGGACCTCAGAGAGCTCACCCAATCAACATCACCTGCAGGGGCTGCATCCATCACCCCCAAGTTCCTCTGAGCTCCCACATCTACCAAGTGGGGGTGACCAGAGTCCCCGGGGTCATGAAGCCCATCCGCTAGCTCTCCCTGTGTGGGAAGAGCCCCATTCTCCACGCGGGACAACTATTTAAAGATATCAGCGACCCAGATATGCAGTTGTGCAGTTAGCTCATTTCAAATGCATTTAGACACACTGCTTTTGACATTAACTGCACCAACTGAGTTGCTATTTCTCTAATTTCTGGGCAAAGAAGATGTCCCGGGATGTCCACTGAGCAAAGCTAAGACACAAGTGCTTCATCAAATGGCATAGTGAGCAGAGTCACATCAAGGCCCGACAGTGGGGAGTGGCAGGGATGACTCACAGACCTCAAGTCCAAGCACATTATCCTGATTTCTGCAGGGCGAGACAGCAAGACAATTTCTTTAGCACATCCCACCTCCAAGTCTGTGCTGACAGGTGTCTGGAAAGCTGTGTGTGAGGATATCAGATTAAATGACACCGAGACTAACTGGCTTTGTTGACTGCCTGGGAGGAGGCAGAGAGCCCTCACGGCTCAGCCTAATTGCTCCGACCTCAGGCACATCTCCTGTCCTTGTACCACGTGGCTGGTCCCTTCCCTTAGCACCTCTGAGCCCTCGTTTGAGTCACAGTTATTTGGCTGTGGTGAACCCTTGTTCATCAAACATATTTGATGAGTACATTTCTTTGTTTGTTCTGTCTCTTCAAACAGAGTCTTAGCCATCTAAGGATTTCTCATTTGCCAGCACTTCCCTGTGCTTTCCAGCACCAGGCCGAGGGCAAACACTGAACAGGATTTCACAGGCAGAGCGCTCAGCACAGGGGCTGCTCCTTTAGCTCCTCCTCCTAAACGCGTGGTCCCTGCTCCCACCAGGCCGAGGGCAAACACTGAACAGGATTTCACAGGCAGAGCGCTCAGCATAGGGGCTGCTCCTTTAGCTCCTCCTCCTAAACGCGAGGTCCCCTCCCTCCCTCCAGTATGCAAATGCTGTCAACAGCTCAGCATCACTTGGCTTCTGTAATTAAGTCTGGGGACCATCTCATTTGGGATATCTCTTCCTCCTGTTAGTACTAAAGCACTAAGAGCTCTAATAAGGTATCAACCACCTGGTCTCAGATCTGCCTATGCCTTAGAATCACAAGGAGAGCTTTAAAAAATTTATTTCCCCAGACCCTTCTCCCAAGGCTGCTGCTTTAACGGATGCAAGGCAGAGTTCAAGTACAGGTACTTTTCCAAACGCCCCCCAGGGATTCTAATACTGAGAATTAGAGAATCAGAGTAACAAGCAGAGTGCTGTACAGTCCCCTGGTGACTCAGTTTCCCCACCAGGAAGGTAAGGACAAGAACAGCTCCGCACTCCTAGGGTGGTTAGAGGGACTGACCACGTTAATGCCGGGAAATTGCTAATGTGGGGAAGCTGATGTACGTCCCGTGTGAGGGCTTCCTGCAGTTACTATTACCAGTGGTATTCTGGCTTCTTTTTCTTCTTCAACTCTGCATATGACACTAACGTCCTACATCAGTGACACCACTCAAACATACGGTGATTCTTAAGAACTATAGTATTGTTTTAAATTATAGTTGATTTACGATATTGTGTTAGTTTCAGGTGTACAGCAAAGTGATTCAGTTACACATATACTTTTTCAGATGATTTTCCATTATAGGTTACTATAAGCTACTGAATATAATTCCCTGTGCTCTACAGTAAATCCTTGTTGCTTATCTATTTTATGTATAGTAGTTTGTTAATCCTAATTTGTCCCTTCCCCTTTGGTAACCATAAGTTTGTTTTCTATGTCCGTGAGTCTGTTTCTATTTTGTACATACATTCATGTGTATTATTTTTTAGATTCCACATATAAGTGATGTCATGTATTTGTCTTTCTCTATCTGACTTACTTCAATAAGTATACTATTCTCTAGGTCCATCCATGTTGCTATGAATGGCAATATTTATCCTTTTTATGGCTGAATGATATTCCACTGTGCATATATACACATTCTCTTAAGCCAATAGTCTGTTGATGGGCACTTGGGTTATTTCTACATCTTGGCTATTGTAAATGGCGCTGCTATGAACACTGAGCTTCATGTGTCTTTTCAAATTAGAGTTTTTATTTTTTCCAGATATATACCCAGGAGTGGGATTGCTGGACCATTCAGTAGCTTTATTTTTAGTTTTTTAAGGAAACTCCATACTGTTTTCCACAGTGGCTGCACCCATTTACATTCCCACTAACCACGCAGGAGGAAGAACTACAGTATTAAATCAGAAAGTCTGATCCGAATTCTGCTTCAATCATTTACTGGTGAGGGAGGCTTCCTCTTATCACCTGAACCCCAACGAGGCATCCTCAACTTCAAAACTACAAGCACTTACTGTGGCTTCAGCAAATCATAAAAACACAAAAACCAATGCCTGTGTGCCTCTGGGTGAGGGATAAATTTCTCTGACACATCCGGACCTTACCTGACGCATTTCCTTATAGCTGTGATGCTTAAAATCCAGGTCGTCGGTGGTGGTCATTTCGTTCCGTCGGTGATAATAGTTATTTGGATCTAGGGACAGAAATATGGTTTTGAACTCATTCGCACCATTCTGTCACTTGTGGTGGTTCTGTGAGGTGCCGATTTGTGTGGGAACACAGCCCTACCTCCAGCTTCTAACATTTGCACAGAGGTGAGAGAGCCAACTTTCGAGAAGCATCGTAAGAGTCAGAACTCCCCAATGTGGGGAGCATGAGCCTGGAGCCAGTTTGCCTGGCTCCAATCTCTGCTCGCCTACTCATGTGCTGTGTGACCTTGGGTAAGTCACTGGGGCCATCTCTGCCTTGGTGTCTTCACCCAAAACAGGGAGACCCTGGTACCTCCGTTGCTGGTTTACTGTTAGTATTACGTGCCTGGCAAACTATCACACTAAATGAATGAAGGAATAATGAATGAATGAATAAATGAATGAATGAATGAATGAGTATCACAACCACTCGGATAAATGGAAATCTCCAGAAGTGTGGTGCACACTATTAGTTGCTCACCCAGCACCCAGTCCACTTTTATCCGTCTTAACAGAAGCCCTGTGTTGTGTGGGGGGCCCTGCTGCTCCACTTCCGGTAACCAACCTCATGCCCGCAGCTCCAGGGGTTCAACATGACTGATCTAAGCCAGTCAGAGCACAGCATCTCCTGGCCACTCTTACTGGTCCAGGTTGAAGGGAAGGACTTTAACAGTGCAGAGGAGTGAGTGAGAATTTCTTCAGTGTAGAGGACAGAGAGAACCCCAAATCAGGAGCTATGAAGTTAACCAACCCTGGACCCCCACCGACTTCCCTTGGGACCTGCAGTCACATGAGATAAGGAATTCCCTGGACTGTTAAGCCAGCGGGAGCTGGGCTGGCCCTCGCTGGAGCCGAGCCACCCTCACAGACATAAGTAGGATGTATTAACAGTGGGGACTGGGGAGGAGATGTCCACTCTTGATTTGATTCTCTTCCATATAAAATGAACTTTTCTGAATTCTTATAAGCCTATATTATTTATAGAATTACAAAAACAAACAGCACTCAAAAGAAAGGAGGGGACTGGGAACAGGAAGAGGATTAGGGGGAAGGGACAATTCAGTGGGCCCTGAGGACTTTCTCCTGCCCTGACAAAAAGTAGCGAGGCTTAGAGAGCCTCAGCCAGGCTTATAACCGAGCAGGACCCGATGGGATCTTTCCAGGACAGAACCCCCACCCCGATGTCCTCTGCCTGCCTCTTCAGTCCCCTAGGCCTTCCCCTGGTTCCAAAGAGTACATTGAATCAGAGAAGTGAGAAAATGCAGAAAGAAAGGAAAACAGCCAAGCAAGACAAAATAATGACAGTTTAGCCATTAAAAAAAGTCAAGGACATTTTAGTTTCTCCTCAAGAGCTATAGATAATATTCTGCACCATATCCTTTGAGTGGTTTTGCAGATACTGGAACCCCCACCAGGGGGAAGACGTTAACTACATGCTGCCCACAAGCACAGAGACCCCAGAAGGTGGGTGATACTGGAACCAGAAGGTTGATGATGCTGACTAGTCCGGACCTTTTGAGCACTAGCTCCCTGGACTCCTTGCTTGGCACCTGCAGTAAACGTTGCACTTTCCTTCACTACAACCCGGTGTCAGTGGATTGGCTTTACTTCGCACGGGTAAGCAGACCCAAGTCTGGTTCAGTAACAGGCATACCAGCTCCGCCTCCATGCAGCCAGAAACCCTGGCCAGCCCAGAGCTCCCCTCAGCGCAGGGAGGACGTGGTGCTTTAGACGGGGGGACGTACTAACCCAGGAATCAACAAAGTAAGGTTGGAACCACAGCAGCTGTCAGTTTGATCCAAGCGGCTTGAAGGACAATTCTGGAGGTGGTGGCAGTGGCAGGTGATGGACGTATGAACACTTGCTCCCAGTGGTATCGGGAGCAGGGAGTCCTAGCTCATGCCACCACAGAACCTGCCTGCCAGGGTTCACGTAAAGACTGGCTTCACCCTTGAGAAAAGGGGGCCACGTGCAAGAAGCTGAAAATCACATGTAGCACCAAACATCAAGAAAACTTTAATATTCACAAGAGGGTTGCCAGCGACACCGTTAGAAACAAATAACCGCCATTGAAAGAGAAATCATGTGGGCAGGCAGACTGGCTTTCTGTTCAGGAAAGAAGGCAAAAGCCATTCGGGTTTGGCAGAGACCGCCATTTATATCTCAGGTTCTCTCCTTTGTGGAGCGTGGGCTGACCACACCCTCGGGCAAGCCTCCTGCCCTTTGATCTCCAAACCTGTATGTTTCAAAGCCAAGGTAAAGAGCTTTTTCCCATTAATTTACACTTAATTTGCCTACCTGCTCTTTCCTAAGACCTATTTAACACCCCCAAACCCCAGGGGTGTCTTTCCAAACTCTTTATGGAAAGCCCCTTTTGTCTTCACACACAAGGTATGTGTTTGAAGGTTCTTAAGAAGGACTGAAGGAAAACTCAGATGTCTGTGTACAAAAGAGCTCCAGGTGTGGCAACATCCCTCCTTCCTTGAGACTAATTAATTTGTCCAAGGTCAGGGGAAGAAGTTCCAGCACAGTCTCAGAACCGCAGGTGAGCATTTTCCACCACTCTCAGTCTCCCACCTTTGGAGTAAGTACTTATTTACTTGTCCACTTACTCGGATTGGATAATGTCTCACTCAGAACCTGTCAGGAGCCCAGCACTGCAGGGAAAGACTGAGAACCAAGCCCAGCCAGGCCTGCTGGCTCGCTCCCGCCAGGGCCAGAGTCAACAGACACAGCCCAACAGACACAGTCAAACCCACTGTCCCTCCTTCTTCTGTAGGCAAAAGAATCTTTTTCTCCTGTGGGGACTCTATCCCAGATGGTTCCGACAGAATTGGCTTGGCCAGCACTCCTAGGTGTGGGCGTGTAACCCAAGTCCAGCCAATTAACCACAGTCGCTGACTCAGAGATGACCCCGGGATCCCAGGATGCAAGCTGGGCTGACAGATGACTTTCCTCCCAGAGCTACAGAGGCGGGTCTCTCTCCTGCGGGAGTCACTCACACGGAGGATGAGTTTGGGGTGTGAATGGCCTTCTCCCTGCCTGCAAGGTAAGGGAGCCCTGACTGCACCAGAGGCCCCGAGATGACAGACCTATTCCTGCCTGAAGCCAGAGTCAGATCTGCCCCCCAGAGCTTTCATTTCTGTGAGCCACAATATCCCTCTCCCGACACTCCCACCAGCCCACCCTTTAAGCTAATATGAGTAGATCTTCTGACATTTGAAACAGCAGAAGTCCTGACTGACTCAGTCTGCAAGGCCTTTATCCTCCCAGATGGAGCTCTGGATGCTTCCTTTCATGTAGTTGGCTTCATACGTCAGATGTCCTGAAAACCAGCTGACTCCTTCTGGACACCTTCGTTACGGGAACAGACAAACTTCAGACGAGGCACACAGAGACTAACACTATCCTCCCAATGTTACTTCTCTTATTCAGCCACTCACAGTCCTGCTCTGCCCCAGTGGGGCTACTCATGGAGCCTATTTCAGGTTGAATTATGTCCACTCCCCCCACATGGTTATGTTGGAATCCTAACCCCCAGCAGCTTAGAACGTGACCTTATTTGGAGAGATTTCTACAGAGGTAATCAACTTTCAGTGAGGTCATTAGGGTGGACCCCATTCCAATAGGACTGTGAGCAGGGGAAGTGTGAACACAGAGAAGCACGCTGGGGACCACCATGTGACGATGGAGGCAGAGGTCAGGGTGATGAATCTACAAGCCAAGGAAGACCAAGTTAGGCAGCAAACCCCCGGAGGCCAGGGGAGAGGCAAGGAACAGAGTCTCCCTCACAGCCTCAGAAGGAACCAGCCCTGCTACACCTTGATCTCCGACTTCTCCAGAACTGTCAGACGATAACTCCCTCAAATTCTAAAGCCCTCCAATTTTGGTACTTTGTCACCGCAGTTCCTAGAAAAACTACACACCCCAAACATCCCTGCCTCCTCACTGCTATGGACACGCCCCTCGCATCCCAAATCAGGCACCAGCTCCCTACCCAGGACGGCAATGATCCTGGACCAAAGCCCACCACTGGACATCCGAGGGCATAGCAACATTCTTGGACCCTTCTGCTTTGCTGTTTGCTGCTTTGGGGGTCGGGCTCTTGCTGGGCAGGAGCAAGTGCTCAGCTGGGAGGGAAAGGCTCTCTTTGCTGGAAAGGGGACTCACTGCCATCTGGAATCACTGGGCTCATGATGTGCTTTTACCCAGAGCAGGCAAACCCACAGAGACACTGCGGACTAGAGGCTACCAGCCGATGGTGGAGGGAGATCTGGAAGTGATTACTCAGGGGGTCCAGGATGTTTTTGGGTCCATGACAAAGTTCTGAAACTAGAGAGAGCTACTGACTGCACAACCTTGTAAAGACACTAAATCGCACTGAACTTTATACTTGAAAATGCTTAACTGTATGTTACGTGAGTTTCACTTTATTAAAAAACAAAAACAAAAACAAAAACAAAAACAAATTGCTGGCCTTGAAGTGTTCTCTTACATCGGAACCACAGCCACCGCAGATCTTTCTTTACCTGCCATGAGGCCAGACCCTCACCCAAGGAAATGCCCGCCACTGTGGCCTGGTGACCTCCCTAAGCATGGACATCCCTGAGCACAGCTGACCTGGCACCATATGCAAACCTCTTCTGCAAAGAGCTCGCTCCCCAGTGAAAAGAAGTCACACTTGTCCAGCCCCATCTGACTGTTCTTATGACCCGGTCACCCTAAGAGGGGCACCGGAGAAGTGGACCCCCTGGCAGAGCCCATTTTGACCCTAGATCATCACTGTCAGTAAAAGCATCAAACCCACAGCTTCGCGTGGCTCCAGAGAGGGAGCAGTACATCATTCGTGCTTATTTCCTTTCTGCCTCATCTCACGTAACCCTGCCACGTGGCATCTCCACCGTGCTGCTCACAGACGTCCAGGAAACTCTGGTTTCTTGGCTGATGCTGCTTCTCCAGACAGTCCCAGGGCCAATCTGCAGCCAGACTGACAGGAGGAACTGTC